CCTATTTAAAAATAAAGCCGCGCTGTGGAGCATTTCCTGATGACATCCACATGTCCGTCCATCATGCATCTGTGTGTTTCAAGGGTGGAGAAGGGCGGGGTGGGTGGGGCAAAAGAGCAAAACCCCACTCCCTACCTGGAGACACTCATACGCTTTGACATATTTAGCTATACCACTGATCCACTGCCATTCCTTACAGTTTTTACATCACCCATTCACGATGTGCAGAGGACAGACTTGCAAAAAGCTTAGAATGTCTTCCAATTTAAAACAAAATATCCTTAAAGTTAAAAAGTCACATTTGTTATTGATAAATGATAAACAATCATATGCAAATACTGTAAAAGTTAAAATCTAAAATATTTTTCCTGTTTGTTTTTTAACCTTTTTTTAATCATAGCGAGCTAGAATAACTGAACTTCTTTCAGCTGCTCTCTTTCCAGGTCACCACAGTGGATCATCTGCCTCCACCCGTCTCCAATGCATACCTCCACCTGGTCCCTACTCTCACTACATCATCGCATCTGCAAACATTACAGTCCAAGACATCACCATCACTAAATATGAAAGTGATCAGGGTTGATTCCTGGTGTAAGTGGGCTACAATGACTCAACAGCACCTTTAAATGAAAGGAAGAAAGGAGAGGAAAACAAAAATCCGGACCCTATTCACCTTTGGCTCCGCCTTACTGTCCTGGTCAAACTTCAGTACATATAATATCCAAGCAACTCAATGCCCAACTCCTGAGAATTTCACGCATTTAATATAAAAAAAAAAAAGTCAGTAAAACACATTAAATCAAAAGCTGTAATCCTGGAGATATAAATAGATTTATAAGTCATTTTCATATCTTGGAGGTTATGGAGGTGAAAGGACATCGTGATATAATAAGAAGGCTGAGTGTTTGTGTGCGACTGACCAGCAGCATGGCCTGTTCACGGAGCAGCTGCTCCTGGAGCATCTCGAGGTGTCTCTGCTCCTCTTCCAGCTGGCGCCTGATGTACTCCTGTCAGCAGGAAAGAAAACCCATCAAGGCTGCGCATGTCTCTTTAAATAAGCACCAAGCACAACCCTAAAAATCCATCTTAAAACAGATAGAGGGATGTTTTGGCTTTGCTGCGCTACGATAAATACATAAAGTAACCCCTGAGCTTCATGTCTTCATTTTACAGAACCAACACACCAGTTCACTTTGTGTTTCGCTGGCTTTAATTGCAGTAAAAGTAATTTCAGAAACAGACCTGCTCACGATCGTTCCTTCTCTTCTCGTCCTGCCGGCGTTCCTCCTCCTCTTTACGTCTACGATCCATCTCCTCCATACGCCTCTTTTCTTCTTGCTCGCGACGACGCTGCTCGCGCTCCTGTTGCCTCCTCATCTCCCGTTCGCGTCGCTGTTGCTGTGGGGGTATTTGTGGGGGGGGGCAAATAAATTAAAAACAGGGTAAAAACTGCCCGAAAAACAGCACAACAAACGAAACAACGAGTCGAAACAAAACCCTACCTCCTCTAACCGCCTTCTCTGCTCCTTCTGTTGCTCGATACGTTTCTGCCTCTCTGCCAGTAGTTGGCGCTTGTACTCCTCTTGCTCCCGGAGTTGCTGCTCCTGGAGGAGCTGCTGGTGACGGAGCGCCTCCGACCTCTCCTTGTTCTCCTGCTGCAGGCGGATGAAGTCACGCCGTAGAGTAGATTCACCTGGCACGTTGACAATTGAGCTGTATCGGTGGAAGAAAGAGACAAAAGGTTGGAGCTTTGTGAAACGCCTCCACCTGAGCAGGTGCACTTGTTTCCTTTCAGGGAAACATACCTGGGCTCTCCTTCTTGCTCAGGAGGATCCTCTTCCTCCTCCTCACTGCCACTGTACTCATATTCCGTCTCATCTGCACAAGGACAAAAACCAGTCACTCACAGCTTATGCATCCTACACTTTTCCAGCCTTTCATGATAATCGAGAAGCACACGCACCTTTCTCGCCCCTCTTTTTCTTCGTCCGGTCGATGTGGTCTTTGAGCTGTATGCGGACCTGCCGCTCGTTGGGCTGGTCTCGGATGAAGGGGTGCTTCAGCAGCTGCTCTGTTGGTGGGCGCTGCGTGTAATTCTTCACGAGGCAGCTCTCGATGAAACTGAAGAACTTTTTGGACCTGTGAGCGAGTTGGGGGAGAGAAACAACACAAGGCTGAGAGAGCGAATCAAAAACAGAGAAGTATTTCAGCCATGCAACGAGAAAGTGAAGCAGACATTTTTGCAAACGCCCCACGACTCCTAACAGCGCTCCTTCCCCTTCACCAGACACTCGCCAGCGCAACAAAAACTGAGGTTTATGCACACAGACGAGCAGCATCGAACCTTTCCTTACATATACTCCACGAAAACTGAAAAACGCTACACGCTGGAGTGAAATTATTATCACAACTGCACCTGCTGCCGAGCACCGTCAGATTCACTTGCGACAGCAGCAAATCAAACCGATATTTTATGAAACAGGGGTGGAGTATAAAATAAAACAGCGATTTCTGTTTGAAGACAAATGTAAAACGAGAGCCAGTTTATTAGAGCGTTCGAGCTCTGAGATGTTTCTGCAGTGCAGTCCAGAGCAGCGATCCAGTGTGTTTGTGCGAGTGCCAGGAGAGCCTGAGCCTGCCAGAGCAGGTGTACCACAGATGTTCGAGTCAGCAGCAGAGCACTAAGGGAAAGCTGAGCTCTTAGTTTTAAGTCTCTGTAGCTGCCTGGGCTAAGGTCTGACATAAAACAAAATGCACATAAAAGGACAGAAGGAAATCTGTGCATAAAATATCTCAGAGTAAATGTGTCAGGATTTTGCAGGGTAGCGAGACGATTATATAGGACAGATACGTAAACAGTAAAAACGTCCTTTCCGGGTGGTGCTCACCATTTTTTAGATTTCAGCCGAGGAGGAGGATTTCTTGGAATGAGGAAGAGTGCACGCATGGGGTGCATGTCGCAAAGAGCTGAAAGAAGCGGTGCAAAAAAGTTAAAGATTCAAGAGGATTAAAAGATCAAGAAAAAACAAATGATAAGAGAAACAGGCACTCACGGGGCGCTCCTTCAGCCATTTCAATAGCCGTGATACCGCAGGACCACAGATCACTCTGCGAGAGAAGAAAACGCCCAATAAGAAAGCCATTCACAAGAATAATGCACCTCCGCGGTTACAGGAAGTCAGGTTTTGAACGCTCGACACGCTGGGGAAGCTTACTCGGTAATCATATGTTGCATCTGGGTTCTCGTCACAAGCGATGACTTCTGGGGCCATCCAGTAAGGTGTCCCAATGAAGGTGTTTCTCCTTCCAACTGTCCGATCCAGCTGAGCACTCACGCCAAAATCCACTGGAGAGATAAGGAGCGGAGACAGTCAGTTAAACGCTGTACGATCATCTTCAAAGACTCGATTTCAAGAAAGAGAAACGGGCCGCTGGAAAATAGCTTCCAGCCTTCTTACACACAAGCATAATCTTTTCAATGGTAGATGTAGCTATTACTGGCTAGCTTGGTTAGCAAGCTGCATCTGTAATTCACCGTAGCTGGCAAAATCTAGACTTAAAACAAAATGTGTAAACTTGACAACTTAAACTGTTTTAAGCACCACTGAATGGGAACCATTAACTATAGATACATTTAAATCTTACTGGAATTCATGATATTGAGCTATATTAAAATCTACACCACTGGTTAAAATTGTCTTTGGCACCGTTCAATACACATGTTTATAACTACTATAGAGTTTGGTATTTTAACATGCCCGTTTATAAAAATTGATTCTTTTGCCTGCCTCAAGTGGCCACCTGAGAAACTAGTTCGTCCGAAACTGTGGAGGTGGGCACTTTATAGATGTTTTAGAGTCTTGTGTTGCATGGCAAGAACAAGTGAGAATCTCTAAGTTAAAGTTGACACTGACATTTATTGGATCAAAAGGTATCAAAGACATGAAAACTCAGTCACTCACCTAGTTTAACTTCAGCATTCTCCGTCAATAACACGTTCTGGCCTTTGATGTCACGGTGGATGACGTGGTGGGCGTGTAAGTGGGCGAGACCCTGAGGAGGGTAGAGGAGATGCAATATTAGTGAAAGAAGGTAGAGAAGAGAAATGAGGAGAAGAGAGGGAAAAAAAGAGGGCGGGGGAATGTGCTCACTCTGAGGATCTCTCTGGAGATGTAGGCAATCCAGTCTTCCTTCAGCTGGTTCCCCTTTGTGTTCTTCACTAGGTCTGTGATGGAACCAGCACCACAGAACTCCATCACCAACTGCAAAACAGACAAAGTCAATGAAAAAAAAAAATATTAAAATTAAAATATGCCTAGTTCTGGAAAGTTAATAAAAAAGGAAAGCTAGTAAAAGAAGTGAGCATCAGCGCTACAGTCTTTACATTTTTTTTTAAAAATGTCTTCACTGGATTTGAGGGGCTTACCCATAGCTGGTCATCGTGTCCCGGAGGGCTCTTCTTAATGAAAGCACCATAGTAGGTGGCTATGTTTCTGTGGTGGGAATACTTCTTCAGCATATTGATCTCCAGTTTAATTTCCTCTTCTTCATCCTAGATGAGCAAACAAACACAGGTGCACATTAAAAGAGGGCGTTTGGCCTTGCCCCCCCAAAAATCTTTATGATGTGGCGTGTAGGCTCCTTTTAACCATAACCTGACCTCGAGTAACGTTTCATTTCACAAATAAATCAATTCACTTCCACACTTTGTGTCACAGCAAGTGTCGAGACGCGTGACAGCTCCCTGGTGCAACATCGCTGCAGCCTTTTCATGCAGCACGAGCGAGGAATGAGTCCTTTGTTTATGGATTACTGTTGCATGAATGATTTGCATTGTACGTTAGACACATCAGATAAACCTACAACAACAACCAGCGGCTATTATCCACAGAGCTGGAAAGAAAGCTCTGCCATGAACCTTCACCTGGAGAAAAAAAATAAATTATTACTTAATGGGTGTAGGATTACTTAAGGGAAGAGCAGGAACAGGAAATGGGCGCCTTTAAAATTTAAACGTAACCTAAAGGGAACTCTGAGGGATTAACGCGAAAGAGCTAAATCAAACTAGCAGATGTAGTGATCACGCAGCGTTTAATCTCTGCTGCAAACGACCTTTAGTTGCAGATAGCGGGAGCAAACCTGCCCGCCATCGCTTCTTCACAAAAAGGTCAGAACTAGCTGCAGTGCAAACTCCCCACTTGCACCCTGTAGCAACTTGACACAGATTAACAGTGATGCACTAATTGAACAAATGCATAGATCAGCCTGCAAGTGGTTTGCTTTATGGTTACATGGCCTATTATTTACAAAGTAGAGTGAGAGGAGTGGAGGGACAAAGGTGGGGGTGGTTGCACAAAATTACCACTGCATAATGCAGTGTGTGCACGCTTCAGATATTTGTATATCCTGTCATTTCCATTATTAGCATTCTGCACCAAAATGTGTTACAGCCGATTTAAAGGTGATGCTGTGTGTGCATGTTACTACGCTGGATGGTGTGAGTGCATCGCACACAGCAAAATGGCAGTTGGCCGTCTTTACAGGCAGCCACGCTGCTGCTGCATGACTCGTTTGAGTTGACGTAAGCCTTTCTGTTGTGCGCATCCCCCTCCACCACCCCATCCTCCTCTGACCCTCCCTTCCCCGTGTACCCCCTCTCTGCTACGCAGCTGCTGGATTATCACACTCCCGACTGTGAAAGCCTCTCTGCCACGAGTCACATGGCGACTGAGTGGGAGAGACAATCATATGGTGATGCGTGTCGGAGAGAGAGAGGCAAAGGCGAGCAATACGTCAGCGCACGACGCACACACATAAGATGCCATTAATCTGTGGCACTAGGCCACACCCAGTATTCCTAATTTATGATTGAAGATAAGATCTTTAGAAAGTGTAACTCAAAGATTTAACAAAGAGGAAACTCCAGCCGAGTTTCCTCTCATGTCTTAAAACATCTTTAAATCTCCAGGGGTGAAACCCCCCCCCAAAGACAAAACAGTTAGCCATGTTCTTTGTCTTTGATAGCCTGGTAATACATTTTCACAAATTAAAATCCAGTACAGTGTTTGCTAAAGTGTAACTGCTGGATCCCAAATTGCAGAAACATCCTTGGCCTTGTGTCAAGAAGCGCTGCACATTCAAGGAGTAGAAATCCTTTTACTTTAACAGAAAACAGCACGTCAAAATGGAAAAGCATCTGTTTTTTTAAGCTCGTGGCCTGTATAGCTGCAGAAAAGAGGACTTGTTTGGATTTGAGAATGTGGGTCACAGTGACCCTGCACAGAACCTCTGTGCCTGCAGATGAGCTCAACAGCCAGGACGACAAGCGCGACACGGGCCAGCTGAAACATAACAAGCAGAAAAATAGCTGACAGATCTAACTGAAGCTCCGTAATTGAATATTTCAGGCGTACGGTCATAACAGATCAAACTGTGAGTCATTATTTGAGCACCGTTTGAAGCCTACTAATTAACTCAGTCAAACTGACTTAAAAATCACTGTGTGAGGTCCACCAGTTAGTGAGCTTTGGCACTTTAATAGCAATGGGAGTGCACAGTCATTCGTTTGTGTGCAGGTAATAAAAACCCAGCTTAATCTCAGAATGATTTATGTCATGATAGAAGCAAGGGAAGATAGCAGAGCAGGCTAAACCTAATAACAGTCACTGTAATGCACTAAATACAGCCAAAGTCTCACATAAACAGACTGAAGACAGACGTTAAAAGGGCCACCAGTGAAAAACAAAACACAAAAATACAGTCAAGCAGGTTTTAGGTGAAGTGGACACCTGCTTCTCGTGACGAGTGACTCCCTGTTCTCAGTGAGTGACTAGACGTCTGAAAAGGCACACCTAGTGTTTCACACACATCAGGAAACAGCTGGTCCATTCTCTCCCACACGATAACAAGTCAGTCGAGAGTGTAACTCTGACTCATTGTGACGTAAGCGCGCGTGAGGGGTGGCAAAAAGGCATGTCAGGGCACACGAGCTGCATCACCAGTTCCTGTTGAGCTTCTGATGAGGACTGTGTGACGGTAGGATAGAAACATGTTGCATCCACAAAGCAGTAAACGTGTCCTGACACCGGTGAAAATTCAGCTCGTGGCTGTCGGCTGTGATCCCCTCTGAGGAAGATGATGAACACTAGGCTGTTGCGCGCGACACGTTCAAACTGGGCTCCAGGATGGGTCCGGCATTTTACGCCCATGTTGCTTTCATCATAACCAACACAGTGTGGGTGGTTAGCCCTGCTGGTCTTCGCTGCTCCCCTCAAACCTTCTGCCTTGCGTTTCTGCATGTGTGCATATGTGGTTGTTTCTCATCTGCAGATGGGACCTCCCACAGCTGAGGGCAGCACGCTTGCTGCTAAATGACAAAGCTACCTCAAAAAAAAAATCTAATTAAAATTAAGCAGTATCCTGTTGCCTCTACTCCTTCCCTGCTGCTGTTTATTAGTGAAGACAACTCATTACAGAGCGGGGCTTTTTCTCCTCTGCAACCTCTAAATATTCAGACCTAAGTTCCAGAGGAATGTGTGCAGATTTTTATGTTAACCAGACTCGAGTATAATTACATTTCACCACAAGAACATTTTTAGCACACCAATGATAATCTATTATGTTGCGCCAAATCTATCTTTTTGATTTAAAAGTATATGTAGGGTGACATTTAAGGCTTACCTCTGTGACATCCATGACCTTGATGGCAGCCAGCTGTCCAGTCTTGACATGTCGTCCCTGCAAAGACGACAAACAAAAGCATATGAGCATTCAAGCACATGGCAAAGGTCACTGTGGTCTTATCAAGTATGCTGTACATTGCTATTTAAATTGTTTTTTTAAAAAGGAAAAGAAAAGCTTTAGTTATAGCCAATATACTCATTCAAAACAGGTGGTGAACTGGTTTATAAATTAACTGGTGTATCCACATTTGGTGACAGGTGGCTCTTTGGTTGTCCAAATATGGTCACATCCATTTTCCAAAACAAAGGATACAAAGACTACTCGTTTGAGGCCTTAACAAGATTAAAAAGGTAAAGTCAGTCCATTTATTAGGTTATTTAATAGAGGAAAAAAACAGATAAACATACTAATGGTATAAGTGTGTAACTGAACAAACTGATGCATTCTCATAATGCATCAATTAACAAAACATTTGCCTGCTCTAATGTGTTAAAGATATATTGGAGCAGGCATGAGTTTATGGAAGTCACCGTGTTGTAATGCCATCTTGAATACAGAGGCCGAGATGGACATTGTTGCTCATAATCTCAATTTAGTTATGTGGCCAGAGACAGCAGCGCGCCAAAGGTGGAAGTGAAGAGAGCTTCTTGGCATTTGTGTACCATGGAGGCAAATTTTAATTCACATTTGCATCTCCAAACTCAATGTATGAACAATCATAACTTAGTTTTATCATTCAAAAAGAGGTCTCCTTCACCAAAGAAGCAAAAACGAATAGAAAAGAGAATATGACTGGCTCTGGATAAAATGCCATCCTCAGACATCATCTCCTGAACTGAAGTCAGCAGCAGCTGGTTATAAGTTAACATTATGCTAGCTAATGTTAGGTTCAAGTATCCTAAAAATATCAGTTTCTCTCTAATAAACACTAACGCCAGCCAACAGCATAAACAACAGCGGGTCTTACTGACAGGATATCCTCAACAACTCACCTCAGGATCGCTGTCAGAAGCGAGCTTGTTTGACTTGTATCAGACTCGTTTTGTTAAGTTTTACAGGTTCCTTCAGAGTAGAGCTGGGCGATATGAGATTTTTTCATATCACGATATGTTTTTTTCATTTCAGGCGATAACGATATCTATCACGATATAAGCCAAATAACTATATTTGTAAGATTTAAATGTGCCGTTGCTCACAAGTAAAATGTGAAATAATCAGCAGCTTGTTTTTATTTAAATATTTATTTCCCATAATAAGTTCAACAGGGTAGATGTACTTAAGGAACATGAGACTTTTTCAGATAAATAAAGGCAAATATTGCAAACTACACAAAAGGCAGCCGCTAAAGCGTTTAAGTTTCAAAATAGAACAAACGAAACAGACTAAATTGTCAATTCCACTTAGAAACAAAATATTAATTCTAAAAATAAATCTTAGTTTGTTTTACAGAAGAACAGACAAAACTGACTAACTTTTGTCAATATCAAATAAACTGAGAACTAAAAGGAAATTCTCAATCTCTCCTTGTTGTATAGCTTAGCTTTTCAAACAGTTTTAACAGTTACTTTAGTCTGACAAAAGCCGAATGACGAATTAGCGCTTCCAGTCAGAGACTGAGGCTACGTCCACACGTACACGGGTATTTTTGAAAACGGAGATTTTCCGTTTTCGTTTTAAAAAATAATCCCGTCCACACATAAAGGCAGAAATGAAGGAAAACGCTGCTATGAACATGCCAAAGCAGCAGGTGGCGCTAGATTCCTAACCGTGCAGAAATGTTGGCCAATCAGAAGTCTAGAAGCCTCGGTGGGAAAAAGTAAACAAAGCTGGGGCATAGAAGCAGAACCGAGTCGTATGTGTGGAGGGACAGTAACTGTGTGTATATGTAAGCATTTAAACACTGCAGAGAGTAGAATTAACAGTAACAGTATTGTAGAAATTCATTTCACCGAAACAATAACGTGGCGCACAGTGTGACGCATGCACCAGTTTATTGTATTTCCAGACTTGCTTTCGGCACAATTTACAGTGCACGCTACTCTGTTTTTTGTCAGACTTGAAATAGCCGAAATACCTTCACACTACGGAACTTCTATGGCTCTTCCGTTCGACAATCTCTCCGGCGTTGGAACCATCATCTGTTTTCTCTTCGGTCACGCTCGGTTGATTTTTCTAGTCGGCACACTCATTTCCTCCATTACCCGCTGGCTGCTTCCCAAACAAACACACGTGCGGCTTGGCACTTGTGCTGTACGTAACAAGTCACGCGACGTGACGCTGCGGCTGTGATTGGTTCGGCTCTGCGCTACTTAATTTGGATTGGCTGTTTTTTTTTTTTTTTTAGAGGACAAGAGCGGCGAGGTCTATCGCGATAGCTTAATTTCTCTATCGAGTAAAAGTTATATCGCGATACATATCGTTATCGTTCTATCGCCCAGCTCTCTTCAAGTAAACAAACAGAGAGGTAAACAGAGCTGACAGCTCTACACTCACTACATAATACTAGAGGTGGGAATCACCATACATCCCACGATACGATATTATTGCAATTTTTTAAAAATATTTTGCGATATTCAGATTCTGTACATAAAGGTAAACTTTATCAATATTCATTTTATCTAATATCAAAGTCTCGCACTCAGTCTTTCTCTCATTTCAGTCAGTTTTATTGTTGACAAACTGAACGGTTTGTATTACAGTCTAGTCCAACTTAACTGAATGCAACCATCTGGTACAATTATAGCTATTCTGAACTATGCAATTTATGAAAACTATGCAGCCCCTTCAGCAACTGAAGAATTTGAAAGTAAATTAAAACTTTTTTATTTAATGTAAAATTATATTTTGTTTTAAACTTAATTAAAATAAAACATGTCTTAAATTAAAATAAGTAAACTGTCATGTTTATTGCTGCCACAAAAAAGTTAAACACATTTGGACAGTGAACGAATGTCAGGATTCTTGCTCAGAAAAAGGATCAACATGCTTTGAATTCAGAACACAAAAACCTTTTTTGTAACAAAATATCGATTTCTGCTGTCCCTGTATCGATACATTATTAGCAAACAAAATATCACGATGCTACACAGTATCGATTTTTTCCCCCACCCCTAACAGATACCATAGCCAGGATTATGCGCTTGAATTGGGAGGGCAAAAAGTAACAAAGTTAACTGCAATCTGCAGTCTGACATCTAGTGGAGATATTTTACACACTGTAACTTTAAAGCCATTAAACGAGTAGTCCACAACTCACTGCATGCCCTCCGGTATACAGTCTTTGCCATTTTCATACATAACACAATGACTTATTTAAAAATATATATATAGAAAATTAAAAAAAAAATCCTGTATCTAATTAAATTACATGTTTGACCGCCATTTTTACCATATATTTCACACGGGAACTGAGATCAAGAGTTGGATTGTTCCTATCAAAGAAAGCAGTTTCAAGTCTTTTGTATCCCACAGCCCATGTAAAATTATGATACACAGCACCAAACAGAAACATGCAATTCCCAAGCCATGAAGCCCCGACATTCCCAGACTTCTCTGCTCTCCTAACACCCTACTGCCACTCCTTACATAAACAAAGGGACCAAAATAGTGGCCTCCCTACATCCCCCTCCCTCCCCTCAACCCTGAGACGAGATAAAACATGGGACATTTTTGGAAGCTGACCCACATGGGTATTCCCCTTCTCCACTGCAGTGATACTCTGTCTCTCTGCCTACCACTGCTGCAATGTACCGGACACACGTGTCAATTCACTGTACAGTCTTTGTGCATGGCTACAGAGAAAACTGCTTCAGACACACATATGTACAGCCTCCCTGCCGACACCACCGTCGTCATCTTAGCCAGTGCATTCCATAGTCAATTGAAACTGTATGGATTATGACAATAAAAGCTATGCAGGCTTTGGGGCCCTCTGTTTTCACTGAGCAGGAGAGGTGGGGGCGATGAGAGGGACACTTTACAATGACTTTAATCCTCTCCACTTTGATCCCAGGGGTTGCCTCTGCAAAAACAACAGAGGCTGACATTGTAGCTGTCACCTCCTCGTGCACATGCAGTCTGTTTTGCTAGTTTACAGGTGCAGCCGAGGAACTCCGCAGTCATCCTCATGCCTCATGTGCACTGAAAAAGTCGACATTAAATGATTATGATTTTTGAGTCAAACATAATTAACTGAATCTTAGATTGCATTATTGTTAAATCTTTAAGTAGTTAATACTTGTTTAAAGCTTCTTAAAAACAAAAACAAAGAGTTTCTGGGAAAACCTGACAGGCATTTTTCTCCATTTTCAGACCAAATGACTAATTGGTTCATTGAGAAATGACTGGGAGATTAATCAGTGTACTATTGTGATAGTTACCCCCTTATTATAATGGAAACAATAAAAATTTATCCATCCTGTGACTTCAGTAACATATTAGTCAGCTAATTGAGAAATGAGCCAAACATGCACTGGGTCCCTGGATGTCTACAGGAAGATTTCACTGCGTGAGTCACGAACTTTGTTTCTAACTACCGACCACAAACAAGACCAACACTGAAAAGGAGCAGAAAGGAGAAAAATAATCAAGACCGTCTTTGTGTTTTGGCTCTTCTGCAGCCCCTCTCCCATTAGCATTAGAGCTCACTCTCAAAGAAAACTTGTTGGATCCAACGCTGTGACGCTTTCATCCAGGGGAGGAAAAAATAAATAATAATAATAATAATAATAAATCTGATGCTATTTGGATTTTCCACAAAGACCATCCAGATAATTGCGGGATACATTCAACTCAATAACAACGCAGTTAATCTCCCTCGTTGGCTGTTAATAAATTAAAGCTGTTAATTCGTACAGTTTTACAGTTGACAGTGCCTTGATGAATGTGTACAAAACTATGACAGCCAAGCTAAAATGTCTGCTTACATGGATGATTTAAAGTCATGTAGTTTGGAGTAGATAGCAGAGGTGCCAATCCCCCCCCCACAATTCCCTTTCTGTTAACCTAAAAGTCTTCCTAGTCGTATAAATCCAAGTTTTTTTTCCAGCTTCTGG